GACGCCGTTTACTACCACGCTGTGTTGTGGGTTCGATCCCCACATGGGACGACACTTTTTGTGATCCACAAATTGTTGTTCTGAGTCTGGGTGTCCTTTGTGTCCGTTTCATATATTTTTGTAAAGTCCTCCGCAACACAGGATATATTCCTAAAGCGAGAGTTGTCCTTTAAAAACAAAACAAAAAACTAAATTTTTTACGCGAAATAGATATCGCTTCATAAGATTGTTTTTATCTATTCTTAGCGTCAGTTTTGTTCCTCATTTCTCATCAATGTGCCACAGGAAAGCGTGACAGCTAGTTCTAAATAAAACACAATCAAATGACACGTTAAGACACACTTCCCATGCAATTTCAAGTCAAAATACTTTAGACGTGTCATGAAGCGTCAACAGACACACAACAACCTGAGGCAGAATTTTTTAAATAGTAGTACGCAAACTTTTGCATAGTTCTTCAATAGAATAAAAAACCTTCTTGGTAATTAAATATCATGCCAGTCATTTAATATTTAAGAAATATCATTACATCAAACGCCACGGGGCTTCGAGTCCTATTCGTTACCATTATAATAGCCAGTATTGTGTTTTATGAACTCTTATGAACTTTAGAAGGAAACCTTAGACTTAGTTTGTAAAAGTTTCATTTTTTCTAAATAAGTTTCAGTTTATGGAGGACCTCCTTGAAGTTCATACATCAGATCATACAACAATAGATTAATAGTTATTATCCGGATCTTAGAATTAGACTTAACTTTACTACTGCGAAAAAATTGAATAGTATTAAGTTTACTACACTTGTTATAATATTATTTTACAAATATGATCATTTAATTTATCGTAATAAACATACATACCGTGGATAAATCGATTTCAAACGTATTTACTTTATTGTTGTTCGTTATAAAATGGGATGCAGACGAATTGTTAACTTAGAAAAGAGTATTTACGTATAGGCTTTTTAACAAGACTTAATTGGTCAATAAATCCACGTCAGTTGTTTTTTTTAGTAAGTCACTTCTCTAAAGAAATGAGAAAAATAAATAAGTTAAACGAAACAGACAAAAATCGGATGAAAAACGGAGTGGGTGGTCACTATGAAAATTGGAATTCTTGTAGGCAGGCAAGTACAAGTACTGTGTCATAGGTATCTAGAGAATATCAATACTTTTTAATTCGATATTTAGTAAAATATTGAATCCAGAATCTGCTGATTAACCATAAGCCTTAACTTATGGGGCGCAGATTCAGATTAGTGTTCTTCCGTCAATCGGACAAAACTCCAAGCAATGTATGAATAGGTACTAAAATAAGTAGAGACTAAGTGAAGACCCTGACACGGGCCGTATGACATCATGGATTCCAACCTCGCCGCCCACGCCTCAACAACATTATTTACACTCGACCAAATAATTTTGTTAACCGTATTTATATTATAGTAAGTGTGAAATTAGATTGGCACATGTGTAAACTGCAAGTAAATGAAGATGAGGTTGTTTATGTAACATAAGTATTACATTGATCTTGAGAGCGCAATGCGTTACGTTTTTTTTTCTGAAATTGGAAGAACATTGCCAAGGTATCAAAGGTTCGTGTTTTTTTTGCGTAGTGGGGTTGCCAGAATGGCAAGTTGAAAGAGAGAAAATAGAGTTGGAAAGAGTGACGTTGGTATTGCAATGTATTTTTTCCATATTAAAAAAAAACCTTTTAATATAAATGAGATATTGTTTATTACCAGTGACGTCATCTTGTTATGCTATTCACACTATACGGGTATGAAGCATCAGCGAATCTATTTGGCTGCAGAAAATACTATTAAGGTTAATTGTTGATTTTTTTCGCACAGACACTGACTTAAATACATTCCCAATTTAGCTTCTTATCGGGTACTCTTACATACAAACCTATCGAATCGTTTTTTGCTTTCCTCCCAAATAACAATTTGTCAGCACATTATTGTATTGTCACCATAAATATAATGTAAAAACCTAATTGAATAGAGATTAGCGAAGGCAAGAAAGTACAATTATCGTGTTCATTGGCTCGGCCCACCGGAATCAGTCCATGAAAGCATATAGTATGTGCTCGAGTTTAGTTACAACTTTCACTGATTAATTTAAAAGTCAATATTTGGTATCTGAGACGGGTGGGCACAGTTAATCCTCTGATCATTTGCAAGTAGTATTTGATAGACTGCTAAATGTCAATCTAGAATTCTAGAGGTATGATAGTTTTCTTCTGCTAGAAGTACAAAGCATCTTCCTTGTTGTGAAATAAAAATGGTGGTTGTCACTTATATGATGTAGCAGTGGATCTTTTTGCTGATGATAATCATGTCCCGTGATGTTCTTTTAATACTACTGTGTTAAAGGCCTGATAAAGCTGAAAGAGGCGCAAATTTTACGACAGTATCGTGGCAAACGATGTTTTATCGTCCCTGCCAACAAAGAACGGGAATGAAGCATAAATGTATTACCATAAAGATTATTAGTATTCAATTCCATTTCATAAGTTTTGTCTAATGCTATGTTTAATAAATTATAACTAAGTTTTTTGCACCATTATGTCTCCAGTTTTAAGTGCACCTTCTTGAATTTCTAAAAAACATAATCAGTAAAACAATCGATTACTTTTTGTTTCAATTGTATAACTAAAATAAAATAGGGTCGTTTATAACAGTAGCATTTTGGCTTAACGAATCGATTGACAGTTCAACAGCCAGTTCATTGATCTTTCTATGTTTTGGGCAGAAATCTAACGCCTTTCAAACCCGTTACGTGCAATGAATAGTATATTTGTCACTCTCGAATCAAATCAGAACAGGTATAATGCATGTTTCTAACTAAGGATAATTTGAACTAGAAAATCAACGACGCTTCCTTTAGAATCTATTTTTGTAATAAATTCTTTGTTTGTCGTATTAGTACCTAGAACTAGTAGTAGTGTACTGTACCTTACTGTAGGCTACGGTTTAAGGACAAAACGTCATAAAGGGCTAAATGAAAAATATGAATATTAAACTTAGGTAGTTAAAGCTCATTTTAAAAACAACAGTTATTGTAGTCAGCAGCAGAATTTGTCCAGCGACCATAATAGGACAATCTTTATAGTCCAGGTTCCAATTCAACCCATATCTCGACTGTAATTTCAGATTGCAATTTCGCGGTGCATTGTCGGCATAACTCTAAACCATTCAACCATCATCTTTGTCAAAAGCCGTCTATTATTTGACGTAACTCTCTAAAAGACTTCTGCATTTCTATCCCGTATGGTCTCAAGAATGTGCTGCTTTTATCCAATGGTTTCATGTCACTTTGACCAGGTCATTCGATCCATTTACTAGAGTTAACGCTCTGCTTCCCTGACAGAACTCACCCATTAGAAAACATTTACTTCATAAGGATTTAAATAAAAAAAATTATATTTTACTTTCTACTTATGTATTGGCCGTAAATTCGGAAGTGGTCTTTAACATTTGAAACTAAGATCAGTTGAAGAGATTTATCCCTACGAATATATCCAGACGTATTTCCTCATAGTTCGGTCTATTATTGGGTCTGGATGTAAGCCAGGAGCGTTGAACTAATGTGGTGTACTGTTGCTGGAATTGTGTTCATATTTTGACTTGGTGTAATGTCGTGAAGTCTATTGTGAAGTTATGTAAAAATTAACAATAATAATATTTTTTTCAAAAATATTGAAGTCGTAGTTTTATTAGGCTTAATTTACGACTTATTCTTTTGCATAATTGTACTCATAATCTCACACATTTAACTTAATAAGTTACAGAACCCTTTTAGAAGGAAACGGTTTTCGTAAACATTATTCTTAAAACATGAAGTCATTTTAAGACGGATGACTTTGATTGGATTCAAAACTAAATGCCCTTCGTAAAAAAAATATCTACAATTGTTCTGTTGAAGGTGTTAGTAGTAGTTGAAGGTGCAATGAAATTATAATTATTAGGGAAGTTAAAATCATTAGAAATGTTTTATAAAAACATTACTAAAAGTCATCGATCTTTTATATCACCAAATCAAGTCTGATTTATAATTGTTCAGTAATTAGCGGGTAATTACGAGTAAGTATAGGGCTCTCGGTTCAGCTATAGATATCAAATATTTATCTATTACTGTGCCAATGCTCTATATCTTCGATGGGCTGATAGCTTCGCAGTATCCAAACAATAATTTAGATGTATATCAATGAAATATCGACTGTTTTAAGTTGTACACCAAGAGTCGGATCTAAAATACAATTTCGACCTTTTGGCCTTTTGTTTTAGAATTGAAATTTAAGTAAAGCAAAAGTAAACTTTGTGAGCGTATTATTTTTGACTTAATTTTTTAAATAAAGGTCTATTTTGTAATGCAGTGTGGAATTTTAACAATCTATTGTTGTAATGGCTTAATTGAGCGTATTCTCATGGCTTGCAAAGTGTCTAAGATAACATCAACAGATATCTGACGAAACGCTTTCATTAATCGTGTGTAAGCTAATTTCTTATGAAAAAATATTATGGGTTTTATTTTTTAAGGCATTTTATTTAATAAATCTACTATCATTCTTGTTCTGATACTTATGTATTATAAACAACTTTCAAATTGCGTTATATCTAATATTTTATTTTGAAGATGTTTTGTTTAATCAAAATGTTATTGCTAATAATATGGGTACACACCAATCCATTATTTCTAATTTGTATTTATTTTATTATTTTAAGAACATTTCAAATATCAATACTATAACTCTTACTCGTTGTAACCAAAAAAAGATTTACAGACAGACAGACAGACATTTAGATGTTGAAATTTAATATTTGGTTTTTAGAGTTAAAACTAATATAATCGATTTAATTTTATTTTCGCCAATTATTCAATAAGGGTTATATATTTTAAATAAAAAAAATACAATGTGAGTATATTTAAGTGGCCATATTTAAGCATATACCTATGTAAAATACAGATTTATCTAATTATTCCCTTTCTATTTGCCCATAGATATCCGACATAGTGATCGGTCAGGAGGCGAACGTGACAGCCCGAGAAGCCTTACTCAGCTGGGCCCGGCGTTCCACCGCGAAGTACCCGGGAGTCAGAGTTGCTGACTTCACGTCTTCCTGGCGAGACGGACTCGCCTTCAACGCGCTCATACACAGGAACCGTCCTGATCTGATTGACTGGCGTAATATCAGGTGAGCATCCCTTCATCTATATTTTTACATATACACTTTCAAAGCTAACTTCTGAACTCAATTGATCGGTTATAGGTTTTTAAGTCTTCTTATGAAGTTGACTTTCTCTAATGTTAGAATCTAGCAACTTACTATACTGCGGTATAATATTTAATATTCCGTGTGGTGACGGATTAAAAGTACGGAGGGTCACCACCCCTATTCATCCCGTGAGTGTCGTGAAGCCAGTCGGCTTCACGAAGGAAGCAAACTACGCATGACCACTGAACAGTAATGCAAAGAGAAGGCAAACTTGAAACAAACCCTCCACCAGCCCGTCCAGCCAGCGTATTATAGTGGGTCAAATCTATCTCCAGCAGTGGACAACAAAAAGCTGTTGATGGATAATGGAATTTATCAGATCTGAAAATAGTACTCCTTGCAATCAGACGCTAACATAACGCCTTCTTACTTACGCCAACCAACCCTAAAGGAGAAAGAAATTGAGTGAGGAATTATCTTCTTAATCACAGTCGTTAATATTCTATATAAGCATACCTTCAATTGATAACGAAGAGGTTTATTTCTAACTATATCGAACACGTACAATTCAATAGCTGGCAATAAACAATATATATAACAATAGACGCCGGAAAATAGGCAAGCGCCGGTCCGAGCAGGCAAGACTTCAAACGAGTAAAGTTATTTATGTTAATTTCCCATGTTTACATTGTATTTTTCTCAAATATATGAATAACATTTGATTTCAAAAATGTAGGTATAAGCTTATTTGTTTCTGCAAAGGCAACTCGAAAGCGTTTCTTGGAAAAACTAGCTATAAGTATGCACTTTCCTTCCAAATTTAAACTAGAGAGCAAAATGTATTTTTTTAATGCCATAGGTCATTCAATGCCATTTGCGCACAGCCATGAACTTTTTTAAACGTCAATTGAATATAGCCGCGCATGTTATGTTTATAATTTAGCAATGGCAAAGCACCAATACAAACTTAAAGTAAAGTAGTAGTATTAATGACCAAAAATTAAAAAACCTTGTGTCAGCTCATATTGTATTAGTCACTGTAATTATGTTATTGTAAACAAGAAAAAAAAACTATCGGTCTTAACGCAGAATAATGTAGTATTAGTAAAGAGGAATGCGAACTTAGGTTTATAAGCCATCGTCACTTCAAATTTAAATTGTGTTACAGATCAAGACAAGTCCGTGAGCGCTTGGAAACGGCATTCCATGTCGTCGAGAAAGAGTATGGAGTCACGAGACTACTCGATCCTGAAGGTGAGTCCACGATATAGTTCCTAATTTCATGATTACAAAGTAGCTGCCCTGCTATGCTTCGCTGTAGCACATTATGGTGAGAAACAAAACTGACGCGAAAAATAGATAAAAACAATCTTAAAAGCGGATGGTAAGTCGTGTCAAATTTTGAGGCAGTTGGTGCTAAACTTTAAAGTTTTGAAAGCGTACCCAAACCACTTAACAGTTTTATATTTATAGGTAGGTTGTTTATTTTTGGACTGTCCAGCTTAGAAGGACCCTCTCATAGCCTTAAGAGTCTTAGCTCAGATCGACTTAAAAGAAGCTATAATCTCCATAAAAGAAACCTAGTCTGGTAAATTTAAATTTGGGATTTGGTACCCGTCTTTATAATTCCTAAAGGATTGAAGGATGAAAATTGAATTTTAAGTGATGGAATCGAATATGTACTGACGAGTAAAGAGGCTTTATCTAAGATTCAATTACATTACAGTATTCAAAAGTGCATGTATTCTTCGCCAGCACACCTTTTTCGTGTTCCTGTTACATTCAATTAATCAAGAAGTCGTAAAACTTCTAATTGTATTTTGTTAGTTCCGTGTATGTGTATATTATATGAAAACGCAACATTGTAATTTGTTAAGGCAATTTGATTCATTATTCGCACTTTAATACCGTTGGGATTACTGCTCAAAATAAATTACACACACAAAAGATTTATTAAGACTAGTTTACTAAAAGACTTATTTGATTGTAAGCTTTTGCATTGGTCTTGGCTCTCTATCTGGGTCAAGGTATAGGGGTTACTTGTCTATTCCTCGGGTATAGTAGATTATTATTCGAAATGAAAACTGTTGTCACCTTTAATATTATGTACACGGCATACAAGGTGACAACGTGTATGCAATTTTCTCATTCGCAATTTCTTGCCACGTATATCTTAAGCCTGGATAATGTTTGTATATCGAACAGTGTGTGCTTCTTATGACACCTAATGGTCTTCCACCAAGACTCTACACACCAGTATTGTTTTGTCTGATAATGGTCTTGGAAATTTTTAATACAATAGTAGACTGCATAAAGATGCTCTCAGCAGGAATATCAGTCAGACGGATAACTTCGTTATTTTGCTTAAAAGTCATTAATCGCCGATAACTACTGCGGTAATCTTTCGGGTGTAAACACTTTGTATACTGTAGGTGACTAAGGTTAATTTGAAGTAATTCATTTCAGTTTGTACCTACCCATACCCGTAATAAAAGAAAATCTTCCTTTTGTTTATAATTTGGCAACACAAAAAAAATGAAAATTTAGGTTTATGTGTAACATAAAAAACTGTTTTATAATGTGTAACAACTTGCCTGTCGATTCCCTGCCATCTGTGGAAGCGATCCCATTAATATGGACGGGAGTGTGTAACAGATAGCTGGGGTAACGTGCTTTATTTGGTTTCAACTTTTGCCCTCGGACCTGCCCTAGTGTATTTGCTTATCGCGGTAAAAAGTAACCTATGAAACTCGCTTATAAAATATGTTTAGTTGTTTAGACGTGAAAGCGTAGCAAACAAACAAACAAACTCACTTTTACATTTATATAAGTATGGATGACTAAAGAGATGACTAATGAGATGTCAGATCTACACATCATATGCGACCATTGTAAGGCTCGCTCGTGTCTAGCTCCAATATCCTTGTCCCCATAAAAGCTCCGCAAATTAAATGAAACGACTAGTACATTAAATATTGGTCTCAACAGGTTCTATTCAAAGCGAATCACTTTACGATCCATTGTTCTCCCGCACAAGTGTAGCAGCAGAGGTGTGACGTCACGCCCCCTGTCTCATATTATGTATGTGGACATGGCTTTATGTTAATTCGATGCGTCAATCGTTTATAATCATTCAGCACAAATTTGGGAGTTGGTTGTTGAACGGTGATTAAGTTTTTAAATAATCCAGGTTGTATTTTAATCCAGTTTTTTTATTATGAGGTGGAAAATTCTGACTGTAAAACATAAATAGCACTTCTGATGACATTGTGATTAGGGGAATCAGAATTTATGGAACGAGAAATGGGGTGGGCATTCACGAGTACCACCACTGTTCTTGATGGTCTGTACAGATAGGCGCGGTAACATCATCTTCTTACCGTTTATCAAAAAAATTAAGGAACTTTTCTAAAGAAGACATGTTACATGTCGTGATGCCGTGGTCTATGATCGTAATCACAATTAAACAATCGCCATTAAGAAAATTATACTGCTACTGTCTGTAGACTAATGTAGTTACTGGTTTTTTCTGTCTTTTGTTCTAATTCTGTTTATCGTAATCAAAATCATACTTTATTTGTGAGCAGAGGTATACAAAATCATAGCCGAAGATAGTGCAGTAACGCGAAGAAATGGCTGAAAAACGCCATTCAATTCTATATTTTTTTTAGAAGAAATCTCAAATAACAGTACAAGAAAAATACATTTAGTTACAACATAAACTAAACTCTAGCCATTTGAATATTATTAATATTAAAAATTTCAAACAACTTCATTACTATTTTAATGTGTTTACTAATTACAGGAATCAGTCAAATAATTTTGAATTAAATTATGAAAATTAAAAGATATCAAATGTTTTTTGTCGTATAATAATATATTTTATGGTAATTGTTTTATCTTTTTGCTATCATATAATTGACACCAAAATGCACTTGTATAACCGGGTATTACTGGCAACAATAACAACATTAGCGTTGTATTCTTACAGCGTCGAATACATCTGACAAACTTGTGTTTTATGTTTTTAATCATTTAAAATTAATTATCATATGAATTGTCTTTATTCATTTTTTTAAAGAGGCCTAGGTCATTCCGGCGGTTACTGCAATAGATTGCATGTGAGACAATTTATTTAAATAACAACACAACAACTGTTCTAAAGTAAAACTTGACAGACAAAGGCGTAATTACGCTTCAGTGCTGCAGTGTAACATGGCGTGAATAATGGATGCAGCCTCGGGATTAAAGTGCGATATTATTGTGCGATTTGTCGCCAGATATTATTTTGACCCAACGCTGCCATTAATTGCTGTGTTCTTGTAACCTATTGTTTTAATTTTATTGGTGAAACGACCTCTAGAAAGATTTAATTTTAGATAAATATTTTTATTTTTTTATTTAATGTTCATATTTAACCTAGACAGATCTAAATAGTTCTAATTGTAGAAGTGATCAATCAATAAGTTTTTGTGTATTTCATAGTATATTACTAGTTTACCCTATAGTACCCACTAATTTTGCTCCACTCGAATACTTCATATGTTATTAAATTATTATTAGTTACATTGCTCGTACATTTAATTTCCTCTTAAATGCAATGTAACCAAAATATATTGAAAGAGTGTCCTTTCTGCTTTTTGCCGGTTTTTCTTTATATTCTTCTCTTTCTGATCTGCCCATCAGAAAGAGAAGAATATAAAGATGAATTAATAATATATCTGTTCATTAGTTCATCAATTTGCATACTTATACAGCTGAAATCGGTTCAGATCCAATTGTGTCTGGCTTAAAACTATTTTTCACTTTGATTTATCTCACAAAAAAAATATTTTTCCTTAGATGTGGACACCCACGAACCTGACGAGAAGTCCCTCATCACGTACATCTCGTCTCTTTACGAGACGTTCCCGGAGCCACCGACGGTTCACCCATTGTTCGACGCCGAATCACAGCGCAGAGCCGCCGCTTACACCGAGCAGGCCGCGCAGCATCGTGCCTGGTTGCATGAGAAGTGTGCACTTATGCAGGTAAATATCGTGGAATAAAGTTTAGTTTATGATTCCCGCGCAAACCATCATCATTATCAAGAGCCTTTCATAATGCACTGCTGGACAAAGCCATGTCCTTGGAGGTTTTGACCTACTAAAGGCCTACTGGCCAGACCATTTGGTATAGGATTTGTGTCAAGTTTTCCTTTTCTTTGTAGTGTTGATGTCCTTCGCAGTTTGGTCCCTTAGTCGGCTCTTACTATACCCACGGGATGAATAAGGGTGGTGACACTCCTTATTCTTAATCCATCACCACACGTTCGACCCGCGCAAATGAAATAAATGTATACATTGCATTAGAAGTTTTTCATTCTAAGTAAATAAATGCATATTAATATATATCGTGTGTATATATATGTATACATATAGTAACTATCTTTTTGGTAACCTCGCATAAGTACTTTTTTAAGTTTGCGCGCTATGTAAATCCTAGATTGACTTTTGGGTTACTTAAATTGTGTTTTTATTTATTACACATATATATACAACACTGTGCGCTGAACGAACACCACTCTGTTACATATCTGATAGAAAATATATTTTAACATCTTATTTAATGTCGTAGGACCGTGCTTTCCCGTCAACTTTGATCGAGATGAAGAAGCTGCTCAGCGAGAGCACGCGTTTCCGCCAAGAGGAGGTGCCACTAAGACAGAGGGAAAAACAGAAGCTCTTCCACCATTACAGGGAATTAGAGGTTCGAATACTTGCAACACTTAACATCTATATCCAGTCAATAAATCGTACGAAATGTCATTGCCAGTTATATAAAATCATATCGATTTTTTAATATACAAATATTGTGTTTTTAAAGAGCAAACTTGTTAAGTCAAAAACCTGTAGTTTTTCCAAAACACTTCAATATGCACAGCCATATGTTTTATGATAAATATTATTTAAGTGTTGAAATAAGAGGCAGTCCACACGTGCCAACGAATCTGCTACGAAGTTTATACCGTATTAATGTTGTGAAATAAAATGTTTTCGGTAATTAATTAAGCTAGTACGCACTTTAGCGTATAATGTACAGGAAAGAGATTTAATAACTTGTAATATAATGAAGCCGGTGCATCAGACCACGATACCCGCAAAATAATGTTTTGCACTTATTTTTCTTTAATGACTGTGCTTGAGATGGTATGTTGAATAAAACAGTCCCTGAATTATGCAGAATTCTTTTGGCGGGTAACAATACAAATTTCTATTAATGTGTTTCATCATATTTTGTTGTTCCGACTGAGTAAAAATGAAATTGTTATAAAAAAAGTTAAAATAAAGTGACAAACACGTTTTATTACACAAATATAAATAGTTGCTAACTTTTGATAAAATAATTTTTGGGCGTAATTTATGTATAAAATTTATATATTCCCAGTAGATAGGTCACAGCATATTTCTGCCCCTGTTATAACTTTTTACATAGTATGGAGTATTTACTTGAATGCGTCATAAAATTCCTCCGCATTGCCTACTGGTAGCATTCCTGAAAGCCGACAGCATTGCCACGTTGAATGGAAAGGCTAATTCTCTATGGTGGAAAGTGTATTTAAATCTTGAATGTACTATATACACTACGAGCCTTCTTTAAACTTAAGGGTGGTAACGCATTTAAGACTACTGGGTAATCGCTTTCCACCAGGTGACCCGTCTGCTCGTTTGCATATCATAAAAAAACTTTTTGATTCCATCCATCCAATGCCTCGGTAGTGCAGTGGTAGCGTATGCGACTGCTGTGACGATGTCTCGGGTTCGATTCCCGGGTCGGACCAGTGACCTGCAAATATTTGTTTCGGAGTGGGTATTTTCCATATATAATATGTATGTATTTACAAAAAAAGTTCTGCTTAGTTTGAAACCAGATGGCGTTGTGTGCCAGAGGTCCGAAAAATATTATTATTAATGGGTTCTTGGAGCCTGGGTTTGTTATGTACAATTCTATATTGTATATGTGTATATCTGCTTATATTGGAATCGTCCATCGAATACTCCAACATTTGTTTTCTTTCTTCAGAAATATTTCGAAACTGTAGGAGAGTGTGACATCGAACCCACGCTCAGACCAGACGCCCTAGAACAGGCGTGGTCGCGTCTGCTGATGGCGCAGCAAGAACGGGAGAGAGATCTCACCGACGAGATACGACGACTCGAGCGCTTACAGCGCCTCGCTGAGAAATTGCACAGGTAGGCTACACAAAGAGTTCAGTAGTGGAGGAATAAATGTATCAGATTAAGAGGGGAGAAGAAAAGAGATGGTCATTTTCTAATTAAATTATTTAAGTTTTCATTTGTAATCAATATTTTTACATAATGGAAAAAATATTTATCTTTATTATTGAGGTGTTGTTTAGACATAAGAGATTACAGATGCAAGTCTAAGAACAATGGAGTTTTTTGGATCTTAATAATTTTCTTTTGGAAATATATTTGTATTACCGAAATTCGACTAAATGTGTAAATATTTGTTGTATGGATAACTGACGATACAGATTATATATCTTTATTTGTAGATGATGTAAATTTTTCCTTCTATTGCGATAACGACGCTATTGTTATAAGAGACGACTCGTCTATGAACTTGGAAGGTACTCACGGATATTATTGAAAGATCATTGATTATCGAATGATATAACTGATAAAATTGTAAGACTTTATTTACGCGTTTTCCATATTGAAGAGGGAATGAGCCTTTTAAAACGAGCACATCTCTCCAGTACTAGTTGAACTGGTTCCTTACACGCTTGTGACTGTGCAGGGACATAAAGCAGACGGAGGGCGGGCTGGAGAGCGTGGAGCGGCATATCGAGAGCGAGATCCGGCGCGTGGAGCGCGGCGTGCACCCGGCGGACGCGAAGCTGGCCGCCGAGCACATCGAGCACGAGCTGCGCGCCATGGAGCACACCATCTCCGAAATGTTCCACGACGCGCACGCGCTGCGCGACGGCCGCTACCCGCAGGCCGCTGACTTGCTCCGGAGGTAACTGGCGTAGCCCGATACAGGCTCAGCTGTTACTCTGTAGTTTTGATGTTCGCTATTAGATGGCGCTGATATATATATTAGTTAGTTAAATAGGTGCGACATACATATATACATATGTATGTCGCACCTATTTTTCTACAGTAAAAATTATGGAAGCCATATATAAACAAATACTTTCGTACTTTTTTTTAAATACATCGTTATGCGTATTATTTAAAAATGCAATCACTTTGTGTTTACTTATTACCCCAAAATCCCTTAATAATTAAAAAAAAAAACACTATTACTAACTAAAACACATTAAAAATTATCTTGAAATCAGGAATATTGTTTCTTGATATCTGATTCATATTTTCTGACTGATATTCATATAATTCTTTAGTTGCTAACAAAGTAATGTTATTCCAGAGTACAACAAGTTCACGACCGGTGGCTGAACGCCCGCCAAGCCTTCACAGGCCGCCTGCTGCCCCGTCTGTCGTCGGTCCGCATGCCCGTGCAGCAGACCACTGTGAGGCGAGAGACCCGCACAGTCCTGGAGACCAGGGTCCACGACGCAGACCCCAAGTTCCAACAGCTCAGTGAAGCCACTAAGTGGTGTAAGGAAAAATTGGTAAGGACAGAATCGTCGAGTCAGTCACTTTTTATTAAGTTTTTTTAAGTGAGTTAATTGCGTTATTTAATTAACGTAATTTATGCTGTATGCAGTTTTATATAAAAGCACATTACTATTCCAAGGTTAAACGTAATGGATGCCTTGCCGATTCACACGTGAACATATTACCGAATATTATGTCTGTACCATATAGCGGTTAAACAGGCTGGTGGAAGAAGTGTATGCTTTTTATTATCTCTAGTGGTATACCAGACCGTTTCGCATTTTATTACATAATTCAATCATGTCTATAACATATGTATTTATTTGTCATTGGGAGAGAGCTCTGGTACCCATAACACAAGTTAAATCTTAACACGGATACTAAGGTTTCAATTAAACAGTCTACAAAATGATTTATGGAATGGAATTAAAAAGGAAAGAATTAGGAGTACAAAGAAGATAAGGCAGATTGAAAACACGGCACGACCCTTATGTGCGGGGCAGTGACCTTTACTGTAAGTGTAACTTCAGAGATAATTCAGGGATAGTTATAAATAAATGGTATTCTTTGCAGAAAAAGCTTCACGAGTCGGACTACGGGTCTGATCTACCATCAGTGCAAAATGAACTGGACAAACACCAGAAAGAACATAAACAGATCGATATGTTCCACTCGAAGGTAAACTACAACCCCCTTATTTTTTAAATAATGTTTTATAATATCCAATGTTGCCACAGACGTTTTTCTTCCACGGCATCTGATGGAAGTTGTTACCGATTCTGAAAAACGTATAGATTCAACGTTATAACATTCCAAAAAAATATATATCTTTTTGTCTTTGTCTACCTAAAATCAAAACGAAGACCAAAAAACCTAGTTTGTTCACTTTGCTCACAAGTCTTTTCAATTTCTAATAATAATAACAAATGTTTATCCAGGTGGAACAATGCGTGCACAACCGCGCCAACTTCACAGGCGAGGAACTGAACCTGTACAACCAGCATCTCAGCCAGCTACAGAAGCTGTACGCTGAACTGCTCTCAACTAGCACTAAACGGTGAGATATCTATATTAGACTTACAGAGAACTATAGTCTATTCGCGTTAACAAAATAGTGACGAAGAATTGACGTGAAGTTATCAGTTCGTACGAAAAGCTTGAAACCTGATTGGTTAGGCTTGATTGATGCTAGACATGTAATTATTTAGAATAATAATCCCATTAAAAACCACATACATGCAATTTTTTTTTCATCATAGTGTTTGGATATTTTGTATATTAATCCTAATTACATTAATCTGTCAAAATTCATCCAAATCTGTTTAGCTGTTCTTCTTGATTCAAAATTTGCAATTGTGGTTCCTTACAGCATGTCGGACCTGGACGCTTTACAAGACTTCCTTCAATCTGCCACCGCCGAGCTGAACTGGCTCAACGAAAAGGAACAGGTGGAGTTGTCCCGCGACTGGGCCGACCCTCACATCAACTTGCCGGCTGTACAACATTATTATGAGGTATATACATGCATGCACTATCGTTACAAAACTTGTTCTCGTTTCACACTCCTTTAATCGCACAATTCTCATCGCAATCGCATCTATATAATTCTTTGTATCCCATTAAAAAAAAAAGTGCACTAAGGCATATTATAGTTCGAACCTAAAAACATTTCAAAACCTATAATTTTTAGACATCATAATGCTATCAAGTAAAAAATTGTGTAAAACGGCCAGATAATACTGTATTGGTCTGGTCTGTAGTGTACAAAACTTCAAATGACAGTCTATAAAATAACAAGCACACGCAACAAACAATTCAAAATGGTCAAAATTACACATCTGGCGATCTCTGCTTACTGTTAAATACAATTTTAATCTCATCGATTTCATTGTTCATTGTGTTTCTAAAGTATATTTTCGTGTTATTTTACAAAGCTTTACACGTCACCTTGATAGCGCGGGCGCGAATCGTCTGATAGTAAAACTGTGCACACAACTGATTTTAGCACAGTTTGCTTGTGGCATTTGAGCACCGATTGATTACTATTGTAAAAGTCATCATGTTTATCACCTACAGTCCAACTTACCACCCTGTTTGTATTGTAATAGAATATTGTTTTGTAATAAGTTGACGAAATTTGTTTGTTCACAAGCATTCCTTTGGGGATGATAGAGAGGTTTGTTTATACATTATTTTTATGTTCTATTCTGTTTGCAACTTTAATTTTCGAGATGCTTTTTTATTTAACATATAAGTTTAATGTCGATAAATGTCCTAATTAAGGCACTCAATAATACCTACTATTTTAGTTAGACATGTTACTTATTTAAATTAAAACCTAAAATATTGCTTCATATTTTTGATGTTAAAAAATAGTCATTTCAAAGTACAATATATCTTACTGACATATGTAAAAAAAAACAAAATTATGATTAAATGTTTTTAATTATCGTATAGTATTTTTAAAGAAATTCTAAGTGTTTCCTCTTAAAATAGTTTACTTTATTCACAAAATAAAATTATCAACCAGCATCACATACCATCAAATTTAAAATTGAACCTAAATTTAAATTTAATGTAAAGCTAATAAATTGTTTTTTCCCGTAGCAACTGATGTCATCACTCGAAAAACGAGAGCTGCAATTCAGCAATGTAATCGACCGCGGAGAGGCGTTGATCGCACAACATCACCCTGCAACGAAGACTATTGAATCACATTTACAGGTTCGTTTAATATCAACCTTATGATTTATGGCATACGACACAAATTTGGAAGTTCCACCACATACTTAGGGCTGTCACAATATAAAGTTTATATTTTCTTTAAGAAATTACTTAATAACCCAGTATAATATATTTGAATCTTGTGAATCACGTTTGCTTAGTAAGTAGTGTTTATTACCTAAAGTAAAGATAAAAACAGTTTTTGAGCAGTTTTGTACCCAAATTTGTTATTTGAGACTCGGAGTACTCCATTTTCAATCTTCGATAATATTATACTTAGATTGAAAAATAAAATACCAAAGCATAGTAATGTTAATATATTATTTGCTTGTAGGTGATGCAGTCACAATGGGCGTGGGTGCTTCAATTGACCTTATGTCTGGAGACACATCTGAAACACACCACACAGTACCATAACTTCTTCGAAGAAGTGAAAGAAGCTGAGAAGTGGATACAGAAGTAAGTCTTTATACATGTATTTTAACTATAATTCATTTCCTCCAATTTCATTTCAAATTTTGTCAGTAATAATTTAAAACATAACTATGTTAGTGCGTAAAATGTAACTGACCTAAATAATATAATCATAAGACAATCCAGTTTATTCGTAACTAGTGTTTGCCCTGCCATACTTCGATAAAATAATCTTTGACGTGGGCTGTATAAATCGTGTCAAAATTTGAGCTCAATCGTTGGGTTTTTGAGCCGTACACAAACCAACTTAACTTTAAAAAAAAACCAAGTAATTACTAACAATATTGCGAGTAGCCCCCACACTAGGCAAGCCTGTCCTGTGGGTGCCTGATACGCTTTCACTTTTCCACATACATTGCTCGGGCGACGACTTAAAAGTAATTTCAACCAAACAATAATAAGCAAAGCGTTCTATGAACAACTTAACAAATGTTTCTATTATTAAATAATGCAAAAACTTAAAAAAATGGTAGGAACATAATTTATTTGTTTTATTACTAATAAATGTATATTATTATAATTATACATAATATTGGTGTGTTTTACATAACATAATGTATAATGGTATCCATATAGATCTGTCTACTCACATATACACACACACTCACTCATATATATATATATATATATATATATATATATATATATATATATATGTATATAGTTTTATAGGTATAACCTCACAACGGAATAATAATGAGAATACTGTAGCCTTGAGAAGAAACCGAAAGTATACTCAAGGATCCTAGACTTAATATTATAAATACATATGTGAGTTACCGGCGTCCTAACCCCCCCCCCCCTTTCCCCCCCTTCCCCGCACTTTTGCCTTTTGAGTTGCAGGTGTCCATGGGCGATATTAGTTACTTACCATCAGGAGGAGACCTGTCTGTTTGTCTGGCCCCTTATACTATTAAATAATCTTAAAAGTAGTGATTGCGATTTCGGGTACCAGGGATTTCCTTACTAGGGTACACCTGGTTTACCGACAACTGGTATCCGAGACGGCCTGCGGATTTTGGTCGTTTCGAGTCCAAGATAACCATCCTCACGGTATTGGTATTGGTATTGGTATTGGTTGTGGGCCTCGGTTTCGCATTTAGACTCAGAGTAAAAAATATATATAAATATTCGATAAAAAATTTAGACATGTAACAGTGGGAACTAAAAGGTCGCAACACTTTTTGTTTTTCTCGAATGAGTTGGTAGAAGTTTATTATACCTACTATTACTACTACGTGTAAAAATTGTAACAGTTTTTTTTAAACAGAAAAGCTCATGTTTTGCATTTTTAAAACTTTACTGATATCAATGCTTATAGAATAAAAGAAAAATTGAATAATATGTACATTATATTACCTAAGAAACTATAGGTACAAAAAAACTAGTTTTAAAATACTTGCTATTTCAAACACTAGACTTCAACATGAATTAAAAAACAATTAATTAAACGATTTATTTAAAAAAGAGTGCACTTTTTTAGACCTATATGCAGAATTACATAGATGAGTCTTCAACAATACTACGCTTGGGTTATAAGTTAGAAAAATAAAGCATTACAAGAATAACGCAAAAAAAATTGTATTAACGAAGAAATATTTAAAAAAAGTTCATGTTAAAGATTTATCGAAACTACAAATTATTGTAAAGTGCACCGAAAAATTAAATTTTATAATTGATTGTGCAAATTTTAAATAAAGACATTCAACGTACAATGGAAGGCATCGGTATCGGCCTCACGGTATCTGTTGTATTCTCGGAGCACAATAAACTTAACAGACACTTCTATTTCAGACGCGAAGAAGCTCTTAATTCGACCTTCTCTCAATCCGAATTTACCTTGGACCAAGGCGAGCGCTTACTCAAGGGTATGCAGGAGCTTAGAGAAGAGCTTAATTCTCACGGTGGTGTGGTGTCACGTCTGGTGGAGAGTGCGCAGGAAGTACGTCCTGTAAAGCAACGGCGGGCACCCATCACTAGGCCGATCAGGGCTGAAACTGTGTGTGCATATAAACACGCTAACGTAAGTACATTAACATTAAAATTAAGATTTATTTATTGTAACTTTGAAAATATCAGTTGCTTATATCATTTAACATGGAATTAACATGTAATAGTTGTCACACATTGTTGAATTGTCTGTCACAGGATGTTCCGCGAGTGTGTCCTGTAATCGTTTGAGATTTATTTCCTTGTATTATTATATATTTTGGAATGCGAATGTGTAAAAGTTAATTTGTGTCATATGGATTTAGTAATCCCGGTATGTGTTCTGATATTGTTACATGGTAGGTTTGGTTTGAGTAAAACAAGTATGTTAATAGAAATTCATTGATATATTTTTGAAACGAAAATTTGAATTATTAGTAAAGCATATAATTCAGATGAATACTGAATGTATTTAGTAATGCATTAGTATTTATGCTCCTGTTATCATTGTTTTAAAATTGGAATGCATAAGTCAAACCTGGTTTTTTTTTAAATATGGTCTCATAAAGATTGCTTTAAAGAACTATTAATAATACCAGTAACTCACTACATTAGGGATTTAAAAACATATTTTTTTCCAAAATGAAAAGAATTTTATAAACGTAACAGAATATAATATTGAAAAACGTTCGTTAAAGATTTACCGAAATTAACGAATACGGACACGTATCCAGATTCTGATATCGTACAAAACGACAGAAATTAAGATTCCAGATCTCTCTTTTTCCCTCGTATATCTGAGGGTATAGGTATCCGGCCACGTGTAATCGTAACGATAATGAATCGCGAACGTAACGCAGGTGGGCATCGAGAAGGGCAGCGCGGTGAGCGTGGTGGACAACTCGGGGCGCGTGCGCTGGCGCGTGCGGCTGGGCGGCGCCGGCACCGACGTGCAGCTGCCCGGCGCCGTGCTGGCGCTGCCGCCGCCCTGCCAGGGCGCCGTCGACGCCGCGCAGGCGCTGCGACACGCCTACGACCGGGTAACTCCACCGATGGCTCCTACGCACGACACCGCCGGCTTTTCCCGGGTGTCCAATTTCCACTAAACCGCCCAGCGTCATTCCCAGTTATGAAAGTCGTGTAGAACGCATGCCATGCCGACTGCTTCGGCAGCTTTGTGTGTAGAAACCTTAAAAGTCATTAAGGAACCGACAAGTGGATGAGTGGATGAGTGGATTTCAGCATCGTTCCTTTCAAATAAAATATCAAAACCTTCAAAAAGATTTCCAAATATACTTCTTCATTTGACAATTTATTAGTAATTAGATAATATTTTTGAATCTCTAATGTATAATTCATTCATCAAAATGTATAATTACGTTACCTTTGACGATTTCTCGCAAACAGCACAACACTGAAATATTAATAAATAAAATTATAATTTAATATTTAAAATATCATCTAAAATTAATCATCTTAGAATATATGTCTATACAAAGCTTATCAATGACCACTTAGCGTATTATTATATATATATATATTCCTAACTCATAAATCACTATAATAAATACTTTAGATTTAAACTATATATAAATCTGGTCTCACCATCCCTTATCTAAACTAACTGCAAACAGATATTACTCAAAGATCATTAAACGTATCAACTTTGTAATAATGCAACATTATGCTCCAGTGTTCAAAAGATACGTGGTCTTGATATGTTGTGCACAATATTTTACCATATTGTTATATTATTGTTTTATTATTTTCTAAAGGTGATACAACTATGGCAAAGGAAGCAACTGAGGATGAGACAGAACATGATCTTTGCCACCATCAAAGTCGTAAAAGGATGGGATTTTCCACAAGTGAGTATTTATTATTCATTAGATTTAGACAAAAATATTTTAAAATATATCGAGATACACACGTCTTCGATGCTAAAACTGAATTTGATTAAAACATTTGATAAACGAAAACCTTGTTTTACACGTGAGTTGATATTTTGATAGCACTTACTGAACGTGTCATTACTTAATACCTTGTTTCTATTCACGAAGTATTTAGAATACCAGAAGTACCAATACTTACCAGTAGAAAACTTCCTTACTCTAATATACTATACTCCTGTAATTCTTATCAAATGCATACCTAGCTTTTTGCAGCTTTATTTTTAAACAGTCTTCTAAAAAAGTTATTTTAGTTTGACCAGGAGGAATACATATCAAAATTTATAATTACTTTATTAATACTAATACTGGGTAAGCATGCAAAAGGCAAGGGGAGAGCTTTGATACCACACAGGTGTATAAGAACTTTGATACCAGAAAGATTGAAAAGCCATAATACATATGCTATGTCTCAATTTTTGCCACCTTTTCCAAAGTCACTAATAGGTCTACCATTCGTTAACAGTTCGTAGCCATGGGTGCCGAACAACGGCAAGCCATCCGTCGAGCACTGAACGAAGACGCGGAAAAACTTTTGGCAGAAGGTGACCCCGCAGACCCACAGCTGCGACGCTTGCGCAGGGAAATTGATGACGTCAACCGACTGTTTGACGAATTCGAGCGCAGGGCCAGGGCGGAAGGTACGTTTTTGTTGAATTTAATTTAAATTTCGAACCAGTGTTTTTGCCGCCTTTACATTCTGCTGAAATTATTTAATTGTTAGTATGTGACGACACAGTATTCCTTACAATTTAAATATAGAAACATGCTATACACTACATTACATTGGTTACTAATTCTAAGATCTGTATCATGAATGTTGCCAGTACTATAATTGATATTTATTACTCCATAGTAGAAAGCTATGACTACTTCATAGTCTTGATTGTACTAACGATAACAAATGTTTCATACACACCAATTATGGCATAAAATTTAAACTTTTTATTGGTTTAATTGAGTAATAGTCTCTGTGGTGTGCATTACAAAATTGAGAGCTATATACTCTTGAACAAATTTTTAATTGTTAGTACTGTGAAGTAGTACTAAACTACTAAACTTTCAGTTTTATATTATTCTTTGATGAGATGAAATTCACACATCTCACACTCCGCAGTCTGATCTCAAACTAGGCAGAGTCTGTGATATTACAACCAGACTGGTGATAAACATACTTAAATATTTCTAAATATACCTCGACACAGAACAAATGATCGTGCTCGTTACACAATCATTTGTCCTAGGTGGGAACCGAACCCACGACCTCCGGCTTAGCAGCCAGGGTCACTAACCACTAGACCAACAGGCCTATTAAATTCTAAACATACCGTTATTGTAAGTCCAATTACATACATTCACGTTAATAATTGTTGACATACCATCTCTTTCTTTCCGAATGTTACATTACAAAGTAACAAATATTTCTAGGTTTCAAATGTACACGAATGTTAATCCTACGTAAGTGTAGAATACCTACAGGACGGTACTATGTCTGAACACAATGAAACATTACTTATAATATCTTTCTCAATGCCCGCCACGGCGGCTCGTAACTCTTCATTTGAATTGAATAGCTACCTTTTGGGTCGACTGACAGCATACTTGCACAGCTTACTGCTAAACAATTACTGTAGTCATTGTTACTAACTGTGGTTAATATAATAATAGTTTCACATAACTCACACACAGCCTTCTAGCAGGGCCTAGGCAGAGCCTGTATTATGGTGACCAGACTGCTAATAAACATACTTATATATTTCTACACCCTTTGATACCACCACTGCTGGACATAGGCCTCTCTTTAGAAAATAGGTTTTAGCTTACTATATCACACTGACCAGACTGGTTGGAATAGGGTTTGTTTGAAGTTTTCCTTCTCTGCAGCACTGTTGGCCTGTTATTTCCCTTAGACAGCTCCTACGACACATACATACATATTACAGATAAATTATATCCAGACACAACAAATGATTGTGCTCATCACATAATTTTTCGTCCTGGATAGGAATCAAACCAATGCTCAATGCTCCTTAGTTATGACTACTATGGTTACAAAACTATACTAATACTGTGTACCAACGACAAACTTAGGCAATTAATAGGACACATGTTTTATATTAAAAGCATGTGCTGTTGTCAAAACAATTGGATCTATAAAAACTAGTATGACGTCTCACTATTTAAACGTTTATAAATTTGCTTTAATTGCAGGGCATTAAATAAAAAAATAAAAATGAATTGCAAAGAAGTGCCTAAACTATTAAATGTCAGTTTATATTACATAGTTTTTTTTATTATTGTATATCGATGCTGTTACATTTCCCTACCAAGAACTGTTTACAGACGTGCTATCTTAATAGCATAAGTTAGACCTGGTCTCTCCGAGGCTGTCAGATTCTATATCCTGTAGTTTGAATGTTATGACATCCTTATATAGTCCCTATGTCGTGTACCAAGTGCATATCACTGTGCTTCGTTAGTTCATGAGCATGCAACGACAGTACGAGCGACGTATTGCTAATAGAGATAACGTAATTTATTTATTGCTCGAGATTGCACCTTGGCATCTTACGTTCAAACGGTTTTGATACTTGACAATATAATGTTAAATGTGAATCATCAACAGCCTTTAATAGCCCACTGCTGGACATAGGCTTCTCCTTGGAAATAAGGTTTTGGCCTACTATTCCACGCTGGCCAGACGAGTTGGTAATGGAAATAAGAATAAATAGCGGGAGGGGTTACCCCAACTAAGCTTAGAGTATAGAACTCCAACCCTTATCTCTTTATCTCGAACTTTATCTCTTAGAATCATCATGTTACCGCTGCTTCGATGAATAAAGACTTGAATTTTCTGGTAGGAAAAATGAACGCCGGGGTGTCATGGAATTAATAAAACTAATGGCGTTATAGTGTTTGTAGGCAGCAGTTACACCTTACCATCCAGCACCGCTGGTTTTCTTACTTTTACGTTCTAAATTCATGGCAAAAAAAGTCAAGTCGATTAATACATAATTTAGTTTTGGTACATCTTGTTGACCATGATGTTTAAAAATAGAAGGTTTTCAATTCAATCGTTTTTACTTTGTAACGTTTAATTTTGTAGAGAGCTGACTCTTCTAACATACATTAATATGTAAATACATTTGTATAAAGACATGCTTTGTGATGGATATTATTTCAACTATCTAAAAAGTCACGTGTCTGATGAATCCGGATATACTGGTAGTCTTAATAATAATTATCAATAAATTATAATAAAGCCTGAAATACAAGTGGCATAAATATAAATGAGTAGACGTTACATTCAAACCGGTTGAACTTTCACGTTCTCGCAAAATGTTTTTAATCAAGCATCAAAACTTTACAAGCTTAGTGTAGATATCATAGACATATTGAGAAATAGAATAGAAGAGTTATGGTATTATCGAACAGAGCGCGTTAAATTAGATTTTTTTTGTAATAAAATGGTATCAAAACAGTTTTACAAAGGATATCTGTAGCATTTATTAATTCCTCATCTATGGACATGTTGATGGTCTTCGTTCCATTTTTATTAAAAACAAAGTAATTATATTATCTTAGGTACCTTTTGCATAAGAAACTGAGCCAGAGGCTTAAGGAATTATTGAATCGTGATACTTAGAAAATATATTATTAATAAACTACTTGAAAAAATCTTATGGCTTTATATTGTCAACCGCAAAAATTTGCTATCTACTGATACACGTTATTATGGCTACCTTGTTTTAAAAAAAGGTTTTTAATGGTGTATGTGTCGGTAAAAAATTTTTGTTGAGAATGTGATAATTGACTTAAAAATGAACACCTAGTAATATACTTCTATAGGAACGAACACTCATCCCTGTTCTCATATATTGTCAGCTGCGCATTGTCGTTTGTTATTCATACTCTATGATTAAAAATTCTATGTCGATATCGTCGTAAGCGACAAAGGACTCGGTCCTACGGGCGCTCAGTCGCAATTAGCGATCGTAACCGATGTCACTTACGCGTGTGTATTAGCAGGGACTCGTCGTAGTGAGTGAGTTAGTGAGTCAACTAGTGAATGTTACACGGGAATAATAATACTCTGGATTTTAAAGACGGCGGTGTGCAAACTACTTTAAAAAATTAAAAACTGTATAGAATCCTAGAAACTTTAAAAAGTTTCGAAATTTAAATTTAATTTAATAAATAGTTAGTTAAATAAAATAGGTCATTAAAAACACAAGATTCCATGCGAAATATAAGCGATTTGTTTATCAATTTTTAATTTCTTTCAATAACTTAGGTTAGGTTTTTTTACCAACCTTGAGTTGGCAAATAAACACTCGGGGCCTTGATGGTAAGTGGTTATCGGTACCTAAAGCTACTTGCTACAAGACAATTTGTTAACTTTATTAATTCCTTAAGAAAACCCTCCGGAAACCTAGTCATTAGACCGACAACACCACTTATAAATAATTTGGGTGGTTTCCGCTTTATATTTATATTCCAGAATGCCTACTTGTTACAACCTAGCACGTAAGTAACTCGTAGTCTCAGTAAGCGTACCTCGAGATCTACTTTTATTGCGTAAAATTACTGCAATATCGCTTATCTTCTCGTTTTGTAACGATGTTGACATGACCTGGAACAATTTTGTTCAGGTTAGCAATAAAACAAATATCGGGTTCTTAGTAGTTTATTTTCTTAACGAGTAGCTCAAGATATTGGTTCAATAAAAGCAGTAATTATTTATGACGTACCGAGGTCCAACTCCTATTATGGTCATGATGATGATTATCATCATCTCAGCCGGAAGACGTGCACTGCTAGACATAGGCCTCAATCAAGGATCTCGACAACAGCCGGTCCTGTGCTGCCCTCAGCCAACGGCTTCCCGCGATCGTCGCCGGTCGTCGGTCCATTCTAGAAAACGATGGCCATCACAATCATATCATCATGAACAGCCTTTACTAGTCCACTGCTGGACATAGGCCTCTCCTTAGAAAGGAGGTTTTGGCCTACTACACCACGCTGGCCAGACGGGTTGGTATAGGGTTTGTGTCAAGTTTTCCTTCTCTCTGCAGTGCTGTTGTCCTGCGTAGTTTGCTCCCTTAGTCGCCTCTTACGACACCCACGGATGAATAGGGGTGGTGACACTCTGTATTCTTAATCCGTCACCATAAAGACAGGGAAAAACAAATATGTGCTAGGATTGAAGTCGCCAGACTGAGGAAAAGCATCCACATTACAGTTAATCATAGAATAAACAAATACATATTAGTGTTGCACTATTTGTTTTCCTATCTCTATTTATCAAGGTCCTTACAGGTCCATGGGGTTGAATAGTTTTGTTATTAGGCGAGACGTATGTTTATTTGCCAACTTAGTTTTATACAAAACAAAAAAAAAGACAATGTTTTAGTCAGTAAGTCTTTTACCTTATACTTTGTGCTTATAAACACTATGCGCGCCTGTTAACGGAAGAGCGTTTATTTATTTTTAATTGATTAACAAAAACAACGATTAAGTATAGAGAGTTCGGATCAGATCTTATCGATTCCATGCAATAAAATGTACATTTCCCACGCCTTATGAAAACATAGTAATCATTTCCCGTCTTTAACTCTACTCCAGGTTTTATTCTGATAACAGAGTATCAATAACAGTAATTCGTTAGCGTTCCCGTAAAGTGAACAAACCTGCTTAGATATATCACGCGCAATAAGGCTTAATAATATTATTTAAATACATGTACAACTGTAGCCTGCCGAACTTCAAAGAAGTTGCCCCATGTGTGTTACAGCAAATATTTTTTCTTAATAAAATAATTGTTACTTCCTGTTTTTACTTACAGTATCGTTTTGAGACAAGGATCCTGTAAAGAAACTATAAATAAATAATAATAATAATATATTTTTACTGAAATTGTATCAGACCATGTATCGTTGTTCGTTGGGTCATTGTCATTATACACTAAAGAATAGTTGTATACTAGGCTATCAGTTAATGAAAGAACCAAGTTTTAAGCTTGTATTATAACTGACTCTGTACTCATAATCTCCTGGTACTTTTATAGATGCGACACGAATATAGCTTCATAGTTTATGACTAAAATAAACTAGTGATAATGACTATCGTGAAGTGGATGACTATTTTGTGATAACAAGTGACTACTTTATGTGTAGTGATATACGAAATATTTCAAAATGAAGAGGATAAAACGCATTTTCTCGTTTGGGAAAGGAGGTAAAGTATGGAAAAAGTTTAATATGTTCATATCACAACATCTATATTTCACATATTTTCGCAATGCTGATTTTATGGGGTATACTAAAAACCGTTAGTTATAATACAACGAAAAAAGTTTTCGTCAGAACAGCAGGATATTCTGGAACAATCGTAAAACAATCAAACTATAAGTGTACCCAAAGTTAATAAGGTTCTGTGTCACGTTGAACAGATGTTATATGTAAGTAGCTTTTGCCTGCGGCTCCGTCCGCGAGTCTTGTAAAATATTTATGACACAAACAAACTGCCACCCTTTTCACCCTCTTAAAGGATTATTTCTTTGATAAAAACTATGACCTTGCCCGGGACTTCCATCTAAAACGGTTCGGCGGTTTAAGCGTGAAGAGGTAACACACAGACACACTTTCGTATTTATAATAGTAGTATGGATTTGACACAGACAGATTACATCCTAATTATTTGGCAATTGAATTCTATGGTAAAGCAACACAGTGAAATATAATGCCCGCTGGTAAAATTCATTCATTTGCAAACTTTTTTTCGTAATCCATTGTTCGTCATTAGGATTGACATTGTGTGTGAATCATAAAACTAATTTGATAACCCTTAGTACTCTTTCAAAACAAGCTTTTAAACTTGTCGCCTACTCCCAATTTACGATGATATCACACACGTAGTCGAGTCCAATTGTATCCAAGGTGTCAACCTTGTATTGTCAGATATTTCACTAATGAATCAAAGAACACCCACTTTTTAAGTGAATCAGGGTTTATTAAGAGGAATCAGGACATAATTTTGTTTTGTGGAAGTTCGGCCTAAATGATGTCATGTGGGTACTTACGTGACATTGTTAGAATCAGCGATCAACTTTTATTTGGTCTTTATATCCAAGATTTATTTTAAGAAATTTAAGTTGAAAATTCACACCTAACTTCCTACTAACTCAAACCGTTTAAGTAGATAATAGTTCAAATGAGAGAGCTTGTTGTTTCCTCAATTACCTCGGAAATATATAGACAAATTAATTGAATGAAATTATAAGAAATCGAATGTAGGTTAATTATTTATTTATTTATACATCATGCACTTTGGCGGACTTAATGCCTAAAGCATTCTCTACCAATCAACCTTTGGGTGATGCAGAAAGAACATGAAGTAGGTGCATTTTGGTTAAAGCTTGATAGTAGTTTAATATCAATTACGCGTACATAAACCTATCATACACTAGAACCCATACACATATTACATACGTACATACATATACTTAAATACATATAAACTTACATAAATACATACATACCTAAATAAATACCATTAATAATAGTAGATGACAATATATAATATATATAATTATGTTTGAGTATTAAATTATAGAAGCGTTAAAGTTAAGTCATTTCCGTGTACTCATCTGTGTCATTCATATATAGAAATGAGCAAATCTGTTGGTCAGGACCACCTGAACATATTTTCTTTAATAAGTAGATGATACTTCCACCCAACTGTTTCTGTTTGTCTGTTTTACAATACACAGTAAAATCAGTCCTATAATGCAGCGCAGTAAACAGTTCTTGTTGCCAGCTGTTAAAACCTTTGTTCTTCACTTTATTTACGTGTTAGTTATAAACAAGAATATAATAACATTCTTAACTTGATGAACTAACTATTATGTAAACGGTTTATTATAAACTCAGCACTAGTAAATAAATAACAATAAAATAAATACTGTTTATTTGTGCATACCATCCTATTATATTGTACATTCTTTCTATTGTACTTTCACTCATTGACGACCGGATGGCGTACCGTAAAACGGGGTTAATAGAAACAATCTAGACTTTCAAACCGACTTTAATAATATAAATTGTAAGTTTCGGGTAATAAAGCTGCTTTCATTGTGGGAGTCTTATGTTATTTTACAAGCCAATTACAATTTTAACGCCAAATTATTATCTACTTAGGAGAAAAAGACAAAAACCTGGTCAATTTCTATTTTCCCGGAATACGGGGTCAATAGATACGACGTAAGGGGTTAATAGAGAAAAGTGATAGGGTTGTCAAACTATTTTATATTAGGTAGTATGACGTCACAGACATAATTAAATAAAGAGTGTACATAATATATTAGAAAACCTTTTTATTAATATTAAAAATAAAATAATCCCAACCTATAACAATGCTTATTAAAAAATCAGTTCAAAAATAATGGTACTTAACCTTAGAATTGAGATCACCAAAAAAAATAAGCTTACTTAATAATTATTAAACGTAGTAAAATTATATTACCTACTCAATCTGAAACATAATAATCAGTTCAAAAATAATTTTAGCCTCAGAATTAAGACTACAAAACAATTAAGCTTAATTAATAATTATTAAGCGTATGAAAACTATATTACAACACAGTCTGAAACATAATAATCTTCTGACAATAATCAACAAAACAGTGCAATAATCAGTTCAAAATAATTAAGTACACAAAATGAGTATTTATTAAAAATTTTAGGATGTCAACATAGTGTTAATTCTGGAATGTTATTCTTAAATGGCTCTTATCACAAACTCAATTTTTTTAATACGAATATTTTTTTTAATCAGTATCAGACATTAAATCGGATAATATGTCCTCGTCATTTCTGTAATAATTTCGATGTTTTTGTTGTTTTCTTTTCATTTTATTATCATATAATATTTTTGCTAATTGTTTAGGATCTGTAACTGAAATATCAGATAAAATTTCAATTTTGTTATTGCTTTTTATTTCATTACTTGAAATCATGGCATCAGAACTGACATTTAAATTGTCAATCGTTTCAAAATGATCAATAACAACATCATCACCAAAAATAATTGGTACCTTTTCTATATCTAAGTAATCATTAGCCTCACATGTACTCAAAGACTGTGGTAATAAGGCTGTTTCTTCTTTACAGAAGCTTGTGCTTGGTTCAGAGGTTAACTGACTTTCATGATCGTAAAACATCTGAGACGTTCCAGCTTCAAGATCATCTTGTAAACATTTAGCGGCGAGAGATTTCGTTTCATCTGTTACATTTGTTTGTGCTTGTGTTTTTGATTTCTTTCCAATTCCCTTTCCTTTCTTTGTTATTGGTTCGTTTTGCTTGTTATTGTCTTTACTTTCTTTATTTGTCTTCTTATTTTTTTTCTTTGGCTCTTGGTTCTCGATTTCTGTTACAGCATAACTTTCTTCAAGACTAACGCTCTTTCCAGGTTCTACTTCAATTTTTCTTTTTCTTTTAGGTTCAGCGACATTTATGGTTCCATATCTCATTTCTTTTAGTATTGTTAGAACAGATTCATTGATAGTTTCTGTTTGATGGCTAACTCTGTCATATCCAGGTAATCTTTTCAGTACTTGTGTAGGGTCCAGTGGATTTATTCCAGTTTTTTTAAATCCTGATAAAATATTTTCTTTAGCATTGTGTTTTAGGGCGTCTAAAAGCATGGATAGTAGACGTGGAAAACATCCTTTTGGAACCGATGCTTGTTGGCGACCATCGGTTTTTTTCCATTGATACAAAATATTGCGCCAAGCTATTTTCATGGGCCTGAAAAAGGCAACATCCAATGGCTGTGTGATGTGGGTAGAATTAGCTGGCAAGAATACGAAACTTATGTTTTCTTCATGGCACAGTTTAATTAGATCTAATGAAAGGTGCGACGATAAATTATCACCGATCAATATTTTTCTTCCGGATACTCCTTGAAAATAGGGTATGATTACCGATTTAATCCAGTCTTGAAAAATGGTTCCATCAAACCAACCTGACTGTGATCTATTGTAACGAGTCCCTTTTGGCCCCTTAACGGTCCAAGTGTCATACAAATGTTGTGCTTTATAGACAACATAAGGAGGCAGTAATTCTCCCTCAGCTGTGCACGCAATCATAATAGAAACGGCAGACTTCGAGTGGTTCATCACCCGCTCTGGATATTTCACGCCTTTTTTTGTAATTATTTTCTTCCGCCCAGGATCATCCGAAAGATTCGTCTCGTCGTAATTTATAATATTGCACATAGGTACGCCTGATAATGAAATTTCTAATTCTTCAAAGTATTTTTTTATTATTTCAGGGGAAACAGCAGCCCGATTTCGCTTTATATTTTGCGATAATCTCTGAGAAATTGCATCTTTGTGCCTTTTCATAAAAGAGGAGACAAAATCTGGTCCAGGCATATTATTATTAAATCTCTTTTCATTCACACCTAATTTATCAAGATAGACCTTAACAAGTACTCTTAAATCATACGCCTCCAAAGGATAGCCCCAGTCAGCACATATATTTATGTATTTAATAAATTCTTCTTCAGTTTCTTTGGATAAAACAGTTTGACCTCCTTGACTTTTCATATTTTTTGTGCAGTGTCTGTATAAAACAGATCTGTGTATATTATATTTCTTTGATATAGTATCAAGAGAACAATTACTCGCAGAATATTCATTAACTGCCTGTTCTATTAAGTTTAAGTCATATTTTATATATTTCTTACCCCGAGGGTCTGGTTTGTAGTTGCGTGGCATATTGCTCGCAACTATACCTGCGTACACAAAATCAATAATTAAATATTAAAAAATCAACTTTTTAAAAATGTAGGTAGGTAATAAAGTTAAAACTCAACAACCTGCATAAAGTGCCAACCCTACCAAAAGCGTTTCTAAAAACCCCTTTGGCGTTTCTATTAAACCCTTTCTCGTTCCTATTTACCCCTTTCCCGTTTCTATTCACCTCATATGGCGTTTCTATTCACCCCTCAGTCGTCTCTATTCACCTCTTAATCGAGAAATATTTATGGGTGCAGTTATTTTACTAATTTACCAATAAAAATCAAACTAATCAGTAAAACTTACCTTTTCAATTTATTCTGGATACACTTCACCGTCGAATAAAGTTATTTTACTATCAAAAACAATATTTAAATAATAACTAGAGAGAAGTTAATAAGAGCACAAAAGACACACACGCAACCGTTGCACTTTGAACTCACTTTTTTGATATAAGTTGCTAACTTCATACTATTCAAATGTTGTCAGACCAACAAAAAAATGTTGCCGTTGTAAAAACAAAAAACACTATTGCGATTTTTATAGTAGTTTTCGAATATCAGGCTTTTAGACTTTTTCCCAAGAATATTTCTATTCACCCCGTGAATTCTATTCACCCCGTTTTACGGTAGTGGTTTGTGTAACGGAATGCTATTTCAAAGGTCGTGGGTTGGATTCCCGCTCAAGTCAAACATTTGTGTGCATGAAAATTTAATGTTTGATTTGGTCTGGGTGTTTCTATGTATAATAAGTAATTTTTTTGTAAAAAAAGGATATATTTAATATCAGTTTTTTTTAATTCAAAATGACATCATAAAGAACACCCAGACTCAGAACAACAATTTGTGGATTCGTCACATGTGGGATTTGAACCCACAATACTCGGCGCAGTAGGAAGCGGCGTGGCGACCGCTTAAACCACTGCGCATGTCTAGTAGCCGTAGTACAAGCTCTGCTTAGTTTGGTCTGCTTAGGTAGATCACTGAACAATGTAGGCGTGTACATAATAATTATTAATTTGTAAACTTTCTGGATAGAGTAATTTCTATACACATCACATCACAGCAAAACAGCCTTTAATAGTTCACTGCTGGACATAGGCCTCTCCTTAGAAAGGAGGTTTTGGCCTTCTATACAACACGGTTTAATTATCATTAATTATGATCCCATGATTCTCCTTATAACCAATGATAGAAAAATATGGGTTCCTAAAACACCTCTGTCCTCTTTATATATAGAATAATTTCTGCACAACACGGTTTAATTATCATTAACTATGATCACATGATTCCCCTTATAACCAATGATAGTGCCTAATCAGTCCGAAAAGTGCAATTAACTGACAACCTGATGTCATAGTATAAAAGACGTTGATTCGGATGACCTTGAGTGCTGAAATACTCAGGTTGGGACAGTTATCTCGACAATTCTGAATTGAACGTGAGCGGGTGGTGTAGAGTAGAAATCTCAGTAGGTTAACTACGATTTGACGTGAATTTAAACCAAATTCCAATGGTGACCAAAAACGTGATAATTAGTCATGATTACTTGACTTTCACTTACTATGTGGGTCATCAGTTTTTTTATCTTTATTTTGTCAAAAATAGAGACAGATAGAACTAGACATATAATATTTATATAACGTCAAAAATTAGTGCTTCATTAGATATTTAAAAAGTTTTGATTGTACATTTGTGCTTGACATGGTGTCTCGAGAATTTATGTGCAATTATTACAGTGATAAAATTTGTAACGTACATTCAATGGATGTAATCAGCATAGTTACAAATAACATCCATAATAATTTATTTAGTGATGTCATAATTTCTGTTTTATGACAATCTGAGGACTATCCGACAACTCGCTGTTCTTTTCTATCAATTTGACCTAAGCTTACGAATAAAATCCTCTGATTTGTTAGAAATACGTTTGTCATGCTGCTATTTTTACTCTGCTATGTCTCACACCGGTGTTCTAGATCTCGATATTGCAGTAACACAATCGCTCTCTTCAACTTAGCTCGTACTTTTAAAATAATTTAAATGTATTTGAGAGTTTATATTGTCTATGTGGAGCGGACATTTGAAAGGGTTGAAAGGCGGGGAACTCCAGGTGCTTATTGGATGATGTTCTATGTTCATTATTGTCTATGCTTTAATTTCAAATGCCGTGTTTAGTGATGTGTTAAGTTCTGTTATTTATGGTGTGTTGTATCATGAAGTTAAAAGTCTTTTCATAGATACTTTAAAATGTTATATGTGCCTAAGATATTGTTAGTGAGTGATAAACAAAGGTTATACCAGCAATTAAGCTGAAGGGTATACTTATACCTGAACGTAATATATGACATTTTGAGATATTAAAGATGTTCAGAAAGTAGTGTTGTTATAAAATAAATGGAGGTAGTTTAAGGGGCAACAAAGTCATACACGTATTATAAGCTTTTAAGCGTTTTTTTGCACTTGTATGTAATCAAATAAACAATAACAAAGTAAGTAGGAAACCAGTCGTAGAGTTGCGAAGCCTACAACATTGACATAAAATTACCTCAACTCACCAAATTGCAGGAAAGACGCCGTTTTTTATACTTAAACCTAATGTTCGTAATACAAAAGGTCGTCTACCTTTAATTAATAATATCATACTACTTCATTGTATAGATTCGCTACAGAATTTATCAGTAAATAATGAACGCTTTGAACATTTTCTTGTACACAAATGGCAAATTGCCCTTACAACACGGTTACAAACACATACGAGTACAGCTGTTGTACAATAGCAGGCGTCTATCTTGCGATGAGTAGTTACAGATTCACACCAGACTTAATACAGTAGCTTTCCTAACGGATGGATGAACAAAAATACAAGGAGTATCGGACTCGTTCCTAGATTTAAAAAAGTAAACCTATAACTACGTAGTAAACATGTTGATATACTATAAACATCATATTCTTTATAGGTCGAAGCAAGTTAACTTATTTAAACGTACTGGCAAATAACCATTTGATATGTGACTCACCCTCTATGTATAACACTCATTGAATTGTTTACTCATTGTCAGGAATATAAGCATAATTTAGATGATATACTGGTAAATACTTGAACGTATCTGTGCGATACTTTAAGTCTCGTTCCATCCTATCCACCTACGGGGTAGGCAAACACAATCATACGAGGCAGAACAGTAAATAATAAAAACAACCTCAGACGTCTCACACGCGACAGTCTTATCCCATTTAAACAAAGCCTGTACTAGCCTGTACTATGATAACCAAACCTCTGATAATCATACTAACATACTTCTAAGTACATACATATATTAGATAATTAATATCCAGACACATAAGAAAATTATATCCTGGTTATGAAACAATTTTTTGGCCTGCGTATGAATCGAACCCACCACGTGGGAAGTAAGCCTACCATAAATGATAACCTATATTGACAGTGTTTAATGGCATTCACAGTTCCCAGGAGTTTCTTACCGTAACTTGGAATGACATTTGTCAACTTGTTAAGTAAGAGGAGTCAGAACCAGACTATACCTTCTACCACATCATACATATAACCCATTGTTAATTATATATTAATTTCTTGTCGCAGAGGATTCGAAGAACGCCGCCCGCATATTCACAGAGCAGTCGTCACATCTTCTGGAACGTCTGGAGACCCTAGAGCGACAGCTGCATGAGAGGATAGCCAGCCATATCCCAAGGGACTTGGACTCGTTGGAACACTTGGTGCTGCAGCATAAAGACTGGGAAACTAGTGTACATGCCTGCACTCATGATGTCGAAGAAGTGCAGAATACATTTAGAGGTGAGTGATTTCAGAGTTTTTCACGTAGGTACCCATAGCGCTTTAAAAGTCACAAATAAGTCAAATACCTATTTGTAGTATATTATTTTATCCTCAGGTCAGAGTAATGCGTGTGATTTTGGCCCACGTTATTAGATAAAGAGTTGCAGCTTGCTATGTTCAGGATTGCCAAAGATGATGTTCAGGATGACTAGATTTAAGCGTATTTACCAGAGACACTGTGTCTTGCTTCTTCATAAAATAAATTATCAAACAAACATTAGGCAATAAAATTAGTGTAATAAAAGGCTTTCAAACAGATTTGACATCTTATAATGTTAATTTACTCGTACCTAATGACTGCTGGCGCAGTGGTTTAAGCGGTCGCCACGCCGCTACACTGATTGTTGTGGGTCCGATCCCTACATGGGACGAAACTCTGTGTGTTCCACAAATTGTTGTTCAGAGTCTGTGTGTTCTTTGTGTCCGTTTCATCTATGTTTGTAAAGTCCCTCGCGACACAGGATATTCTTCTAATGAGGGAGTTGTATTTTTTTAAAACAAAACAAAACAAACAAATTTTTTTCTGTTTCTTAGGCATCGCGCTCAAGACGCCCGCCATGAAGAAGAGCCTCGACAAGGTGATGAGCAAGTGGAACGATATGCAGTCCAAGAGCCAACTCTTTGTTGAAAGGTAAGAATATTTTTTATATTTATTTAATACTCGCTTTTGCCCGTAGCCTATGTAATTTCTCAATAATCAAAGTATCTCTATGTCAAATTTCATTAAAAACGATACAGTGGTTTAGCCGTGAATGCGTAGCAGACAGACAGAGTTACTTTCGTATTGACAATATTAGTAGAGATAGTCTAACCATCACGTACTTTTTACTTATAAACAACCTTTTTAATAAACAAAGGAAAAAAGATAGATGGTTATAACTGAATTTAATACCGCCGTCTAAAACGTGCGTCTATGTAAAATCACCGACTTGTAAATAAAGCTTTTTTAACAACTTTACACATCTCACTGGAGACCGTCTGACCCTAAACTAGACAGAGCCTGTGCTATGGTAACCAGACTGTTGATAAACATACTTATATAATTATAAATACATCCATATTACATATAAGTGTCACACAGACACGAAAAAAATCATCGTGCTCATAACACAATTATTTGACTTCGGTGGGAATCGAACCCACGACCTCTGGCTTAGTAGTCATGGTGGCTAACTACTAGACCACCAGGCCAGTCATGCCTTAAACCAGTTAAATTACACTGGTTATTACGTCTAACTGTCCATCATTTACAATTTTAAAATGTTTTATTAATTGTCTCCAGGTTGAAGTTTGTTGAGATCGTAGTCAACTGCATGGAAGAGAATCATCAGACAATTTCTGAATTTGAGATCAAATTTGCACAGTTTAATGACTTGCCCAACGATGTCGACCTTCTAAAAGACGTAAGTGTTACCTACTTTAATTACCTACTCTTTTTTAATATCTCAACGAGTCTAGGCAACAATTGTGTGTCACGCAATGGAACAATAAATAAAAAAAAAAAATTAATTAGGGGTAACAACAGAGGCACCAGGGATTTCCTTTCTAGGGTACACCTGGTTACCCGACTACTGGTACCTGAGACGCCGTGCGGTTTTAGTCGGTTCGAGTCCGACATTGCCACTGGTAAGTGGTATCCGAGGGAATTTCCGCACAGAAAGAAAAGGGGTAATAACAGAAGTTAACAAAAAAAGAATGAGTCGTCGGCATCGCTTTGCATAGCATAAGCTATCCTCTCCTGTTTTGTACTCTTTGCTGACGCATCGTCAATCTTTAACTTAGGCTTTAATTTTAAATAACTTAACTAAATAATTTATAAAAGCATTATTTAAAAAGGTACCGAATTCAAAAAGTAAAAGTATCTAAATTCGGTTGTATTTTTTTGGTTGCCTTAAAACATTTTTATTTATAAACATTAAAAAATGTATACTACCCTTTTGGTCTTATTCCAAGTCGAAGCAAAAATACCAGATCTATGGATGGAAAATCAAGGAACTAAGAAAATAAATAATCTTTAAAAAAAATTGAATTCAGACACATTAAATTGCTAATCACATTAATTAAGATTATGAAGACAAACATTGCTCCAATTAAGTTTAAATCTTTTCTCTTAAAGGTGCATGAAGATCTCCTACGCATGCAAGTAGTCGTATCAAAACAACAAATCCAAATAGACCAAATGAACGACGACGCTGAGAATTGCAGACGTCTCGTGGAAGCGTCCAGAGCAGCTCTCCCACACTCTTCTCTGCCAAGATCTGGAAAACATATCGACCTGGAGAGGTTGGATAAGGAAGTCACCCAGCTGAATACTAGGTGGAATAACGTTTGCAGTCAGCTGGCTGAGAGGTGAATACATTTATATATTTATTTAAGACATATTTTTTTTTGGGATACCCGTATTTCTGTAAAGAATGTGGGTATCCCGTTTTAAGAGAGAGAGAGAGTCAATAAAAAAAACATTTGAACATCAAATAACCAAATAAGGTCATACAATTTAAAGTTTTAACATCAGATTATAGTAATTGAAATCTTTGACAACTAAATAAACCATTGATAATTATAACATACACATGTGCAAGGAAGAAAGATAATAAAAACTATTGAGAAATTCAAGTAATAATGTGATCTTCATCAATAGCCTTTACTAGTCTATGATATAGGCCTCTCCTTAGAAAGGAGGTTTTGGCCCACCATACCCATATAAATATAGATGTAGCGAACCAGGCGCTATGGCATACGGTTGGCAGAGAGAAAGAAAGAAGATTGTTTTAGTCTTGCATCTCTCTCTGCTCTTGTCACTGATTGTATTTTTAAATGCCCTCTTCAGTATCAGCCAATCAGTGCAGAGAGGAGAGACCAAAATATTATTATATCTCTCTCAAACCGTCGTACGCTACCACTTACAGAGGAATATTCAGTTTACAACTCTGGCCAGACGGGTTGGTGTTGGATTTATGTCAAGTTTTCCTTTTCTTTGTAGTAATGTTGACCTGCATAGTTTACTTCCTTAGTTCTTATGATACCCACGGGATGAATAGTGGTGATGACACTCCGTATTCTTAATCCATCACCACACGGACAATGTGATTTAAGTCTTTGTAAAACCTAATTATCCCTGTCATGATGTTTTAATTACAAGCCATTCTATGTGCCCATAATCATGTATGTACAAAATGATTACCTTAGACACTTCCCAACAGACTCCGTAGCTGCGAAGCCGCATACCAACTCCTGCGCAACTACAACGCTGGCCTAGAGAAGGAGGCGGAATGGATTGACGACGCCTACAGCAAGCTTCAGGCTCAGCCGCCCATCGAGATCAGGCCTAAAGAACAGTTCGAACCTACAAGGGTGAGAAAAAAACTCTGAGAATATCTCTTTTAGGATTTCGTTAGCAACTATTTCTTGGTCACAAGTTCAAGACAAGGGTGGATATAGAAAGTCCAGGGTGAATCCAGGAAGAGACTAGGGTTAGTATAGGAAGACAAGGTGAACATATATGATAAGACTACGGAGCGACTAAATTAGGGAACATCCTAATCATCACTTTTTGATTTTAAATGGTAAATGGTCACCTAGTAATTTAATATAAATATGTTACTAATATTAGGATATTGACGTCATAAACATAAAGGATATTTTAACACTATAATTTAAATTCAAGGTTGGGTTTTGGATATAAGACCAATTAGTTTTATTATGAAAGTGATTATAGGTGAAAATGAACAAATTAACTTGCATGTTATCAGACACAATTGATTGTTTTAACAAAAGTGATAGTAATACTTTTAAGCTAACTTTGATATTTATTTTAATTTGAATATAATGAACACAAAATGTTTTGATTTTGCACTTACTAATATTAAAATTATTATATACGTGGGTGTCTTGTGGTTATTCACAGAATCTACTGACGAGCGTTGTGGAGAGGACGCCTAAGATAGAGAAAGTTAACGTTGACGGTGGCAGATACATACGTGAGGCAAAGGTAACTATCATTCGGTCGAACAGTTTCGATGTTGGATGAATCAGTTTTATGGAATATTCTAATTTCAAACAAGTTTTTTCTTTCTTGACTTTGTACATTTGAACATTTTTTTTTTCTAAATTGTTTATATGTACAACACCGAATGTCAAACAAGCTTAAGCAATATTTTTTTAAATTAAAATACTGTCACAATATTCCACAAAACGTTCATTTTCTATCTAAATTACAACTTGTTTAATGAAAGGTATGAATGTCAAGAAGTGAAGGAAGTTCGAGTCCAGCGTTTTGTCTTGCTTATGGTTTTTGTCTCTGGGTCTTCAAATTCTCTTCATATTTCAGAGGTTTTTCAACTCTTTCACGATTGCACGATCGCTTTCGCTCTTACAGTAATGCTTACGATTTTTTACTAATCGATGCTTCTATAGTTTTAATCGGTTACTAATCATCTGAATGCGAGATGTGTGTTATGTGTGTGATAGACTTCAATTAAAGGCAAAATATTACTGCTGAGTTATTTGTATTGTTGTGTGACTAAGGAAGCGGTTATTTTGTCAATTGTAACGTGAATAATATTGCCGACGATCACTAGATGTCGCTATCGTATGGTATAACTGGCCCTATTTATTATCAGCAACGGTGGCTTAACCTAGACTCAAATTTGCTCTGAAAGCATTACGGGTTTACACCATACTCACTGCAAGGGCGAACTGCCGCAACTTAAGCTTAAGGGTTAAGGAACCTACGAGGTTTGCACCAAGTGCACTATAAGTACCACCCCAGTACACTACCTGGTTTTTGCTTGAAGAGCTTGTTTTTTTAGTGGCATAATAGGGCAAACTAACAGTCGGGTCACATGAGTAAGCGACTACCCCCCCCTGAGAATCAGAGGAAGGGAGGGGGTTGGGCTCCGGTGACCTCACTCACTCAGTGAAAAGTACGAAAGAATTAAAGAATTGATTAACACTGGTTTTCTGTGAGGCCGTGATATCACTCCAACCAGCCAAGTAAAAGGTAATTGTCAATAACTATAGATAAATTGATGACGTGGTCATAGTGGCAGGTGCCATAGACTAGTGCCACATGGCACGAGTCTATGGCACCTGCCACTCAAAGAGTCTTTGAGGTAATTTTAAGAGGGACCAATGTATGGAAATAATCGTCCCATAATGTAATTCGTGATGAGGGTAGTTTCGTATATAAGATGAAGTAAATCACCCAGGTGTGTAAATATGCTTTTAAAAGTATTGTAATTCGCTCAAGAATACGATGTATGGGTCTTATCATTATATTAAATGCAATGTAAATGTTCACGTTTCTTTTAATTATACAATTACTTAGTCTTAACAAATTTTTTTTACTTCAAAAACTGCCTGCGTAGTCGGTGTAAATACTCATGGGATTATTTATAATGTTCCGGTTGCGGCTTCTTTTGATCTCTATTTGGAATAATAATTTGAAATTTAGATTACCTTTTTATACAGCTTATTCAATGTCTCAATCTATAAATAAGCACATTGTTCTTCCAAAATGTAAGCTTTGCATGCCACAAAGTTATTTCGATGTTGTCAGAACCATACCTTTATTTCTACCATTTCTATATTTCGGTTGTTTTTTTTTTAACTTTTTTGCTTAGTTGTGCACGATGTGGGTACTGTGTTGCACACTCAGTGTTGCACGCTTAAAAACCTGTATACTGAACAGGCTCTTTTAGCATGATTTTATCGCCGCAGTGGGGAGCTGGACTAGTGCTGCCAGTGAAGAAAACTATTTTATGAAATGGAATAAAATGGAGATTTTATGAAATGGAAGAAAATGGAGAAAATGGATGTGTGAAAGTGCCCGCATATTTGTTATGTTTCTGTTGTTGAAAGAATTTTGTTTTGGGTCGCCCATGACTGTGATGCATGAAAGGAAGAGTACACGCATATATTATTCAAAAGTGTGTAAGAACTTCGAAAGATTAAAGTATTAATTCTAATATGACCGCTTTATTTAACAAACAGATTGTTTTTTCTCGAAATATTGCAATATTTTAATTTCACAATTGATCTAAACTTTGAATGGACAAAGAAAAAACAGTCTGTCGGAGAACTAACCGACATAACCCGCTTGATCCTAACCCTACCTAGATATACTCGTCACGGTGCCAACGCTACGCCGAATGGCTGTGCGAAGAAGTCCACCCATCCTTGGACATGCGCCACCTCCGGAGACAGGCAGACATGGAGCTCGCTGAACGACTCCGTGCCAGAGGGATAGCTGTCGACCCTGAACAAGTGCCGGCGGGTTCAGACGCTGTTGCTCGTGAACTTGATGAACTGAATGCGAAATATCAAAGGCTAATGGATATGTTGTATGAGAGACTGAGAAGGATCGCTGCTGCTAATCCAGGAGACATCGTTACTTTGGTAAGTGGTAGTATTTAGTAGTATTTTTGGTAGTTTTGTATTTTTAAGGTGTTATAGCATTTATTCCAAACAAAACAGTACGTAGGTATGCTGTATTTAAAAGCCAAAATAACGTTTCCGTTTATTAAATAAAACGATAGTCTTTATTTTGAATATCGTTAAAAGTTTTGCTTTTGAACAGTTGAACGTAAGTGACTGTGCCTATGCATTTGAAAACATGATCACATTGTCCTTGTTGTTGAATATTTTTCGATTAATCATATTTTCCAAGGTCAAGAACAAACCGTATTTTGATAATACTAGGTGTTTTAAAATCAACTTTAAATACTAGACATAAATAAACCAATTGAACGTTTAATGAAAGAATTCATTATCAGAATTAATACAACCTCTATGGTGGCATTATTAAATTTGCCTCTATTAATGCGCTGTACAGAGTGATACTTAAAATTACTCAATTAAATCCAATTTCAACATATACTGCAACCGATGGTATATTTTGACCGAGAATGACTCTCGGTCAAATTACGTTCGGAAATTAATGAAAATGGTATCAGGAATTTACTCGCCACACCTTTTTTAAAACAGGTAATTCGTAAACATGTCTAAATATTTCCGACTCAAGTGCATGCAGAAACTGTTGCTATTTTAATCTAATTTGGTTTAACTAAATCTTTTGTTAGTTATTTATGTGGGTAGAGAGACAACAGTCGCTATGATTAATTCAGTATTCTCTTCTAGATTTTTGTTAGGTCGTAAATTTACCTATTAGGTATCGTTCTTAGTAATATGCACTGCAATTATTTGAGATAATATGAGTATTATTGACGTAAATAATTCTTCTGACATTTAAATCGGGACTACATAAACAACTTTAAAGAGAGTACGTTAGGTAGTTCTAAATTTAAACATCGAAAAGAAGAGCCAAAGTTACCCTACTACATTGTTTAAAAATATAACGAAGGTTGCCTTTGGTTACCTGTCTGCCTACGATATCTTGTTCAATTTAAATATTAAGTAGTTAATATATATTGAAATACGCACATTCCTATCGCTTCGTTATATAACGCAACACGTGTAACTTAAGTTTGGTAGGAATTTATTTATACGATGTTTTCTGCTACGATGAAACCATGTATCACAATCTACATAATTAAATATGTTGAATATAATAGAACTTAATTGATTTGTTCGTCGCTTGTTAATTTAATATGTATTAAATAAATCTTAATAATTACGTGAAGACCTGTACTGTACTCGACAACTTTTAGTTGAGTAAGCTCTTATGTAAAAAAAGGGACAGAAGGGAAAAAGTTAAGGGTTATTTATAATGCTTGATGATACCGGTGGGACGGACGATTATGCAACTAAATTAGTCTTAGTTTAAACTTATTTTAAAACAATAACTTATTTAATTAGGCCAAATTTAGCCACAAACACATGTGTGTTTATTCCAAAATAATTAAGTTTGTTTTATAGTAAAACCCTGAGTTATGTTTTTTTTAAACTACAAATGTTGGGTTCTGCAAATCATCCTAAAAAAATATCTTCGTACTTACATAGTATATAAAGCAAGTTTTTGCTTTAATGTGAATAGGAATTGTTTATTTGCTATGACATAGGCGCCGGCGCCTTGCACCACCTTAACAAACACAATGTGTTTCCGTGTCACGTAGTTGGAAAACGTTCAAGTGACATTACGCTAGAACTTTACCTTAGGACCTGTTCATAGTGATCTTACCAATCAAACAAACACTTATTTTATATTTATACGAGTAATAAGATCCTTTTTTATTCCCGCCCGTGTGTATGTCGGTTATCGCGCTAAAAAGTAGCCTATGTCACTCGCTGATAATGTAGCTTTCCATTGGTTAAAGAATTTTTAAAATCGGTTTAGTGGTTTAGGCGTGAACGCGTAACAATCAAGCAAACTCACTTTCACATTTGTAATTTAAGTAATAAGTACGAAAGCGCTGAAAATGACGGCAGTGTGTGACAAGAAACCACAAAATGGTTCTTTATCTGATATGCCACGGTGCGACGTGCTAGAGATTGCAGATGTCACACGTCTTCCAGGCATTTTTAAATACGCACACAGTCTTAGCGAACGTTCTTGCCACCTTCGCCGGAAATAAAGTAAATATTAACTTAGAATTATAAACTATATAACTTTTAGCTATAAAAAAATATGTTATACTTTTTCTTTAGTGACAATTACGTACGCACGTACGTATGTACGTTGCAAAAACTACATTGGTGTCAAACATAACTCATCAGTTTTTCGACAATTTCAGACCACATTTCTCTTGTACTTACGGCTCTGTGTGAACATGGCATTATTAAAAGTTTATCTAATTCAGTTATACCTAATGATGTCACCATTAGGTCATCACTCGGACCTCTTTCAAGGTCGTGCTACTTAAATATTGACTGTTTATTTAAAGTAACGATTTTTAAGTCTTAACACGTATTGTTGCGTTTTTTAAGTTTTTTATAATTTTATTTATATCCTACTGCAAATTACAAATTCATACAAGCAGTAAATATTTAACATCGTCATTAGTTTAACTACGGTAACCGCATTACGTTAGGCTGTCTTTAAACTAGTATTTTTATACCCACTGACTCCTTAGATTAACATTGCCATTGAACAAATTTCACCTCTAAGAATGTAAAATTAAGGTATTGAGAAAATAGTTTATTACTTTTAAAGATACTTTTTTTATTTGATCATCTAATTAACAAACAAACACCTCTTTTCACACTCTCTTTTAGAAAAGTATTCGTAATGTCCTTGTCACTGTATCAATTTATAACATTAAAAACTAGCGACATATTTAAGAGTAGAAACCGTCTGACTATTTAACCATTGACATCGAAGATTCGTACTATTTATTTCTTCAATTTTATTATACCACATAAATCCAATGACATTTAAAACACTTACTTACGTAAACCGAAAACAACTTTAAATTGAAGCTTAGATTTTTGAACAATTAAGATTCATTTATCTTCGGCCCACTGCTGGCCTTATAAGGCCAAGGCGTAGGCATAAGGACAACGTATATGGCATAGCATACATCTATTACTTTATTCGATGATTTCATACTAGATAATCGCTTATCGTGCAGTATTACAAATATGGAATTATTTATTAGTACTGACGTAGGTTTATATGGTTTATTTATGTGGGTATTGTTTTATCTGATATCTTGGTGAAATTAAAAGCGATAGGGTTAGAACTACAGATCTTAAGGTTGAAGCTGACAGTATGCGGTTCGTTGTTCTCGTGTGTCCATTTGCGGTCAGGCGTACGAAGGGCTCCGGATGTCTTAATAAAAGCTGTTCCTTTCTATTCAAGGCTCAGTGGCACACCGTGTGGTTTAACTCGATTCGATTCCAACAAACCGGTGAGGGGGTTAACACACGTAAAAATAAAAATGTACAAGAAACGAGTGCCAAACGCAACGAGCCTGTGTTATGTTTGCATCTGCATGAGTTATGTAGAAGCTACAGTTAGCGCCGCGTCGTCCCGCCGCGCTTTCTGTCTGACCCAACATTAATGTTTTCCCGTAACGAATTATTTATTCTGTTAGCTTATAGTGGAAAGAAAAGATAGACGGTTGTACTCACATATGTACTTCGGACTCGTAAGGGGTCCTTTATGAACGGGTGAACCCAGTCTAATGAAAAAACAACTCTTGAAAGTGCTTTCTTTTAATAATTATGTGTACAATGAATTATACTAATAAAAACACGTACTAAGTCATAAAACAATGTTGGTTATTAAAAAAAATAGGCTCTTGCCTACCGTCGGGTTACGTTTGTGCATAAATATGCTATGTTGAACCTTGATAAGGTGCCAGCTCATTATATTCTGTAAAACAATAGACCTCCTTTCTTTACCAATAATATAATTAAACATCACATTGTGATAAGGTAAGTGCTTATTACAATAAAATATGGACGCACTCTGAATGATAATTATGTTGTAGTATGGTATCATTAGCTTCAAAACAGTTTTGATTACGTGGCAACACTTTCCTTTTAGATCTGATCTGTTGTGCCTTTTAACTATGTTACAAACAGCTTATTAAAATGACCGTGATCCGTGCTGTGTCACGTGCCTTTAAAATCTTGAACACTAGTTTTGCGTTAATTGGCAACCATTTTCACCAGTAAAAGAAAACTTCTAAGTAGATTGTGTTCTTCTGTAGATTCTTGGTTTACTTCGATTGGGAATTATCTTCTTTTAAATAATTATCAGCTGTTACTGCCACTGTTTAATTTTTTTAACAGTCCTGTTGAGTGTTTAAAAAAACGCGTCTTCCTTCGACATTCAAAATTTTATGTCAAAACGATATCAATAACACGCAGGATCGAAATTGCAAAATAAAATGTTTTTAACTGCAATGTAACACGAACGTTGTTAAATCGGATAAAAAGCCTCGTTTGACTATAAATTCAACGAACTACAGGGTGCATTGACCCGCCTTGGGTTACCAACAAAAACCACTAATGCATGTGTCTATTTCTTTGAGATTTGGTGTTATTGTGCCTTGTGCCAACATAATAATTATGAACTAGACTTACGTCAATCACGTTATTATTTTTATGTATTCCTATGACTTGGGCGTATCGTTTTGTTTAAATTACACTTAGATTACAATGGTTGAACATACAAATAGCATGCAAAGGCGGGAATGTAGAGAAGAGTGACTGAAATTAATTTGAAAAGGCACAGTTTTTAGCGTCCGCACCAAACGGAGGTCTGTGTCACACTCTGAGTTTCCAAAGATGAGTAATAAACTAAAGAACCTTCGACCTTTTTCACCATTGTCCCAAATCAATATTATTAGAAAAAAGTTAGATAATAATATGTCGATCTTAGTATCATGAGTACAACAAAAACAAAATAGTGTATTTTTTTTAACTGTTGCCTTACTAGTACAGCTGCACTCATTTTAGTAACGTATTCATAGATCGTATATTTTTAATTA